GCGCTACTTGTGCAGTACGTCGGGCATGGGGCTAGTGCTTGGAGGGCGGAGTCCAGTGGTCCTCACTGGGCACGCGGACGCTTCTTGGGCTGACGACCAGGCTACGCAGCGGTCGTCACAGGGTTACACCTTCAGCCTTGGTTCCGGCTCTGTTTCGTGGCGGGCTACTCGCTCGTCTTCTGTTCTTGGCTCGAGTTGTGAGGCTGAGATCTACGCCGGGGCCATGGCTGCACAGGAGCTTCGCTGGCTCACCTACCTGCTGACCGACCTTGGAGAGCCGCCTCGTTCTCCTCCAGTCCTGTACGTAGACAACAAGGCCATGCTGGCCTTGTGTCGAGAGCAGCGACTGGAGCACAGAACAAAGCACATTGCTCTCCGCTACTTCCTTGCTCGTGAGCTACAGCAACGTGGACAGTTGCGGCTTGCGTACGTGGCCTCTGAGGCCAACACTGCTGATGTCTTCACCAAGGCACTTCCGCCTTGTGATCATCAGCGCTTCTGCACTCAGCTGGGTCTTGTGCCCGTCTTGCCTCACTTGCTCTCCTCTTGACCTTGCTTGTACTCTCACATATATATATATCTGCTCTTGCTTGTCTAGCTTTATATATATGTGTGTACTCTTGCATGTGAACTGGCCGTGTGGCCTTGACCCTGTGCTCGGACTGTGTGGTGACTTTGTGATCCACCCTGAGCTTTCCTTTGCTTTGCTTTGCTTGACTGGTCTTGTGACCCCTTGTTCTCCCCCACTTTGCCTATGGGGGTGTGTCAGAACATTGTAGCTTATGCTGTTATGTAGGCTATAGTGGGGTATCCCATAGGGGGTACAACCAATTAGGGTTTCATATTTGTACTCACTTCATTTCATAGTTCATCCATTTCTCGTTCTCATTCTCACAATACACCTGAGCATGCAGCGCGAAATCTCTGATTGCCCCTCTTGCCACCTTCTTCCGCTGAAAAACTTCCCCCCTCCAGACCATGCCACATCTCGCCAGCCAGATGTGGCGGAATGTTGTGGCCACTAAGGTTGACGCAGGAAACCCTGACTTCGTGCCCCCCTCATCAAAAAGCAGCGCACCGAGCGAGTTCGGGTTGCCCGCTTGGCCCAACAACTGCAAAGATCTCTGCAGCGCGCCGATCACCGGTTGGACCAGCGGGCAACTGAACATGCAATGTTCTAGGGTTTCAGGCTCCCCGCAATGTGAATAGCGCGCCCTTTCCCCCAGGAATTTCAGCCTGCCGCCCACCTGTAGGTTCAGATTGTGCATTCTCAGCAGCACATCCCTTGCCCTGATGGGTGTCACCAACGAGTCCCTCTTGCTTTCCACCTTTCTCCAGTCTATTTTCCTCCCCCACGCTGCTTCCCACTCATTCCTCTTCCAAGACGTCGTCACCGGCCCCGCCAGCACCCGCCTAGTTACTTTAATCTTCGCCGGCGCCCCGTCATCATCTAGCAACTTAGTCTGCATGAGCCGTGTCGCCGGGGCCCCCATCGCTCCCAGCACCCTGCCGCCCCTGGTGGCTACCGGTTCCACATGCTTTGGCCTGAAAGTCGCCCCGACCGGTGTCTCCCATTCTTCCAGCTTCCCGTCCTTCGTTACCTCCAGGCTCGTTACTGCTACCATCTCCTCCGCCACCCCCTTTACCTTCCAGTAAAGGTACTCCTGTGTCCGTGGTAAGAAAGTTCTGACAACTGTCGCCACTGCCACCAACTTTTCCGCCGTTTTCCCCGCTGCAATCACTTCCTTCCATTCTTTTGCCGTCGCTGCAAGCGCAATCAACGCCCACCTGGCCGCTGCCACGCCCCCCAGCTCCGTCCTCACTGTCTCCTTGCTCTTCACCGTGCACACCCCTACCATGTCATCAGATATTAGCGCGCCGAGTTTCACTCTGTGTATCCCTTCCGTCCCTTGTTGATTGCCGTACGGACTCTTCCCCCTGTACATAATCCTGCGGTTGAAACACAGCTGCTCCTGCTCCACCTCCCAGCCGCTCGCCGGTTCTGGCAGCTGCGCATATGGGGTCTCCCAGAAAGCCTCCACTGCCGCCTTCCAGCGCCGGCTGCCCCCCGGCCAGTGCTTCCCTGCTGACGGGTCTGCATACAGTGTCGCCTCCCCCTGCGGCAACGCTGCCGCTTTCACCGCTAGCCACTTTTTCGTCGGGTCTTTCTCCGCCAGCATCTTTGCCACCATCCTGACCGTTATGCTGTCTATTCTCGCCTTGGGGTCTACCAGCCCCAAACCTCCTTCCTTCTTTGGCAGCCGCGCCAATTCCCCGCTCCACAGAACGAAGATTCTCTCCGCCGTGGCTTGACCCTTCGAGACGTAGTTGTCACACGTCTTCTGGATCCGCTTCCATAATTCCTCCGGCGGTGGGTATATTTGCGCTTGGAAAATGAAGATAGGCATAATATACGCGTTAATGACCGTTACCCTTGCCGCTGTGAGGAGGTGCTGACACTCCCACTTTGCCAGCTCCCCTTTTCCCCGCTCCCATGCCTTCTCCCAGGACGGGCTCGCATCCCCTTCCGGCGTTATCCAGATGCCTAGCAGGCGCTCCGGCACCCCGGCTTCCGCCCACTTAAAAGGTACCCCTTCTGCCGTCTGTTTCCCTTTGTTCCTTCCCAGCGGCATAACCACTGACTTCTCCGTGTTCGTCCGCAGGCCTGACAACCGCCCAAACCGCTCCAGAGCCTCTGACGCCACCTTGAGCTGCTCGACCCCATCCAGGATGAGTGTTGTGTCGTCCGCATATCCCACATATGCCAACTCCGTTCCTCCCTCCGGTTTTACCCCCAAACCCTTCTTCTTGATTTCCAGGCACAAAGGCTCCAGCGCGCATAAGAAGAGGTACGGCGCCAGCGGGCAGCCCTGCCGCACCCCCCTCTGCATCTCCACCTTTTCGCCGAGCCAACCATTAATCGCCAACGTCGTCCCAGAGCCGCGATGCAACCCTTCTGTCCACTTAATAAAAACCTCCGGTATTCCCAATTTCCGCATTGTCTCAAAAAGGTACGGCCTCGCCACCGTATCATATGCCTTCTGGAAGTCGACCATGAGGAGAAACCAATCCTCCCCCCCATTGTCTGCCGCCTCCACCGCGTCTGCTACCACCGACACCGCGTCCGCCAAGGTTCTTCCCGGGATGAAACCGTGCTGCTCCTCCGACACCACCAGGTGAAGGACACGTTTAATCCTGTTCGCCATCAACTTTGCCAACACCTTATACAGCGTGCTGAGCAGAGTGATGGGCCTGTAGTTGCCCAACTGATCCGTCGGTCCTTTTTTGTGCAGCAGAACCGTGACCGCCGTAGTGATCGATTCGTCCAGGACCCCCGTCCTTTCAAAACTTTTTGCGAACTCCACCAGCGGCCCCCCCAGCAGATCCCCGTGCATCCTGAACAGCTCCGGTGGCAGTCCGTCTTTGCCCGGCGACTTGCCCCTCGGCAAACCCTCCAGCGCCTCCTTCACCTCTTCTTCCGTCCACGGGGCGCCCAGCTTCGCCGCCTCGTCCTCAGGTAGCCTTCTGAGCACTTCAATGCTCCTCTCCTCTTGCAGGCTCTGACCGTCCTGGCTTCTGAAAGCGTCCCGGAAGTGCTCCGAAGCCGCTTCCAGCACCTCCTGCGAGCCGTGAAAGCGCTTCCCCTTGAACTCAACCTCCTTAATGAGTGTCTTGTCCTTCCTTATTTTAACTTTGGCAGAGAGGTATGGCGACGGGACCTCCCCGTGTAGCTCCAGATCCAGCCCGGCCAAAACCTGCAGTCTCTCCCTCTCGCTTTCCTGATAACCCTCCAGTTGCGCCTCCTTCGCCAGCAACCTCTCCTTCATGCCGGCATCCGTTGGGCCCGCCATGACCAGGTGGTTCAGCTTCGTGACCTCAGCCTCCAGATGCTCCCTGGTTGCCGTAACCCGCTTTCTTTCCTCTCTTTCGTGCACCCGCAGAGCAGCACTGAGCCGCCCGAGGTTCTGCACCGGTGTCCGACTGCGCTGCGCCTCCGTCCCCCCCATGACCTTTTGAATCACCGCTCTAACTCCCTTCCGATTTGCCCTTGTCGCCTGAAACCTCCAGATCCCCGGCCCGCCAGTGTGCTCCGATTTGAAGGCGAGGCCGACACGTATCGCGAAGCGGTGATCCGACAGCTTCTTCGGCACCCACACGTGCCGCGCCTCCGTAAGATGCCCGAGCAGCGAGGTCGACACCAGAGCCCTATCAATCCTGGTCTTGGTGTCCGATGGCCGCGCGTGAAAAGTGTACTGTCTCTCCCCGGGATTGAGCATCCTGAAAGCATCCTTGAGGTCGAACGCCGACCAAGCCTCCAAAAATCTCTGGTTTTCCTTGCTGGTCCCCGTGTGTGATGACCTATCCATATCCGGGTCCGCTATTATGTTGAGATCCCCTGCCAGCACCAGGTGCATCCCCGCCGGCTGGGCACGGGCGAAGGGGACCAGATGCTCCGCATGGAACTTCGTCCGATTGCCCGGCTGCGCTGGGAGGTAGGCCGCAATCAGTCGAAATGACGTCTCGCCTCCTTCCACCGTCACCCCAAGCAGCCTCCCCGTGTGGTGGGTCATAACATCCGTAAACCGTAAGTGCCTTCTGAACGCAATGATCGCCACCCCTCCTGCACCCTTGTCCGTGCTCGATGTAGCCCAAGCCGTTGATTTGATCTCACTCCAGAAGTTGTGATCTTCTTTAATCCTTGTGTCCGAGAGCACCACTACATCTGCCGCTCTCCTAAGCCAAGTCCGGTGCTTTGTTCGTTTGCCGTTGCTTCCGAGGCCATTCACGTTGACCCCGCAGATGGTAAGTTGGGGTTGTTTATCCATTAATCCACCGTGACTCGAGCCCCTCGCATCCACGGGCTTTATTGCACTGCATACACACATATGTTGATAACATTGATGCTACACTCCCCTGCCATTGCTCTTCCCTGCTTCCCATCTCCATGAAGCCCTCAACTGCGCCGAACCCGCTCCAGTCAGGGGCCCGCCGCTGAGTGATCACATCCCGAACGCCTTCCTGACTGCCAGAAGGTTCAGTTTCCCCTTGCTCTGACGCGTCGCCGATCCCGCCTTGAGGCGCTCTGTGCAGTGTCGGACCGATGCCGCATGTTCCGCTGCCTGCGCGAAGGTGACTCCATGCGCCTTCTCGCAACCCTCCTGGACACACAGCCACTCCTCCCGCACTCCGTTGGTGGAGGTAAGCACCATCGCCGGGTCTTCCATGATGGCCTTTGTAGCTGGGGTCAGCTTCAGGGAGGCCGCTGCTCGAAAGGGGAGTAAGACAGAGGTGAGCCGCTTCTGTCGATCCACCCTCAACCACCACTGCCTGAAAAGCAAGACTTGATGTAAGGATATTACCGTTGATCTCATGCGCCCGTGCAAGCGGCACATTCCACTTGGTGAAATTGTCCTGCCGTTCCGTCACATAATCATCATGAAAACAGGACATGTGCATGCCGTTGCAAAAAGAGCAGGTGAGCGAAGGGAAGGAGACGAGCAGATCCGTGCCGTGGATCTTGTCCGACACCTTATGCCACCACTTATACTTATCCCCGGGGTGGCGGAACACCAACCCCTTAATCTTGTCCGTATCTGACCCCGTCACCGGATCCACCACCCTATGAAAGGCTGAACCCTCCAGGAATGCAGTACGCTTGCGCTTCAGCAGGGTCGCCGTCACCAGGCTTTTCCTGACCATCTCGGGGGAGATTACCGCCGGTACGCTCTTCAGCAGCACCTCAATGGCTTCTGGCCTCGCCGAACGCTCCTTCAGGTACTCCTGATTTTCCGGGTGCTGCCATCCGAGCGTCAACCGCACGTTGGACGCCGTGAAATGATCCACCTTCCTGCTCCACATAAAATTCGCATCCGCCGCATTAACGAACACCACCTGGAGACGGCCGAAGTGCTCCTTAGAGAGCCACGCCGGCGTCAGCTTGTGAAACTTGGTCGTGACCTTTGCGTTCCCCGTCATGTGTCCCTCCCACAGCCGGAGCAACTCGCCGACAGTGTCGATCGTACGCGGGACTTCCTCGTGCCACTTGAAAGGGACAAGAAGCGTGATGGCGAAACCAGCCTGCGTCGCGATGTCGCTGATCGCCTCCGGGTCTTGACACTCATCGGGATCACCGCTGAGGTAACCCCCATCCTCTTCCGCATCCTTGGCCACACCCTTGGCCTTCTCTTGCGCTCCTGATGACGAGGCCTGACGCTTCTCTGGATCCGCATCTGACGGACCGTGGATGTCGCTCCCTTCTCCCTGCAGGCCATTGACGTGCAACGCAGACGCCTTAGCCGGCACCACGTTAACAACTTCCGCGTTGAAAGGACCCTGGACACCGTTGAAAAGAGTCCTTGGCGTGACATGCTCCAACCCCTTCTTGCCCAGGATGCCTCCAGCAGCAGTAGCAGCAGGCACATCAGCCTCCGGGGGAGCCAACGTGTGATGATGAAGCCACTGAAAAAGCCTTTCAATGGCTGGTAGCGTTGATTGCCAACTGAGCACGGGAAGCTCCTTTGTAGCCTTGTGTTTGACCTTCTTTCTGCTGGGGTAAATATAGTCCTGGAACACTTGTCGCATCGCCTTGAAAGACCCATTTCGCCAGGATGTCACATTGATAATGGTTGAGGCCTCGGGTACATCCCTTGGACACAAAATCTCGAAGCTAGCTTGCGCCTTGAAACTGTCTGACAATAAGCCAACGATAACAATGTTCGCTGTATGAACACAAGAAGTGTATCGTTGAGCTCGTAACGTCAGTCCAAAAACCGTCACTCGTGAGTTGATTGAACGGCCTTGGGATTGGAACTTCGGATTCAGGCAAAAACCGGCACGAGAGAGTGCTTTTCCTGAGCCAGCACTGATCAGATCGGGGTGCAGGTGCGAGGAAGGTGGTGCTCTCGCTGGGAGCCTCGAGAATGCACAAATCTCGGGAGTTATTTTTCAGCCTTCTGAAATGGACGTCCCAGATTTGTTGGAAGAATCATTAAGAAACACTGACATGTTGTGAGTTCGTCTTCATAGCATATCATATTGTACTTGATTTCTGGCAAATTTTCAACAGTTATATTTTGGGTAATTGCATTGATTCACCAGCAATTTTGCATTCTTGGCTGAGTGCCAATGATCCTGATTTTCCAGCCCACCTCAAAGCTGAACCCCAGTTTTCAACCAGTTGAGGTGGCCTAGCTAGCTGGTATACCCAACCTAAGAAAGCTCTGTCCTCTTTAGTGAAGAGAGACACAAGTTTGATTGATGGCATAATTGCTAAGATATAGGTTGCCAAGACACAAGTTCCTTCCACATTCTAGACAATACATCTAAGAGGGCAGTGTGAACCGAAATCTCATGAAAAGAATTATCGTACCGGTAAAAAAAAAAAGCTGAAGGGTTTTTGTATCTTTCCAGCAGATCAGCTAGATAAGCCCTGGTGTGTGCTTCAGGCCTTGGGCTTGGAGGAAGGGCCCTCAACGGACTTGATGAGCTCAGCAGTCTTCTCTTGCACTTGGCTGACCACCGGCCCTGCCGCCTCCCTCGCCTTCTCCATCGACTCACCCACTTGGCTCACAACCGGCCCTGCAACGTCCCTCACCTTGTTCACCTGCTCTTCCACTTGCGACACCATAGGCTCGGTGAGCTCCTTCACCCTCTCCACTGCTTGCTCCGCCACAGGCTTGGCGGCTTCATAGGCTGCCTCGGCAACAGGCTTGGCGGCTTCCAGGGCTGCCTCGGCGACAGGCTTGGCAGCGTCGAGCGCAGCTTCAGCGTATGGCTTGGCGGTCTCAGCGAATTCCTGAGTGGCCTCCCATGTCTATAGAAAGGAATTGCAGGGGGGGAGAGGCGGGATGGGGAGCAGGGAGTGGGGAGGCAAGAGAAGGTAGGCGGGTAAGAGCATTGATGGCAGGGCAAAACACTCATCGCACAACATGTCAGCACACATAGCACAAATCACTACCCACACATTGCACCATCAGCACACATTGCACATGTCACATGTCAGCACACCCATCACACATGAGCGTCAAAGGTGAGGGAGGAGAGGCATACCGCTTCAGCGAAGGGAATGACGACATCGTCCACGATGGGCACCACAAAGTCCTTCACCTCCTCCAGCGTCTGCTCCCACAGAGACAAGGGGGGAAACCGGGGGGTAGGGGAGTGAGATTACGAGACTGTGAGATGACTGGATCAGGCAAGGCACTGCTGCATGACACCACGTCCCTCTCCTCCTCCAGCTTCTGCTCAACGGGGGCAGGGAGGGTGAGAGATGTGAGTGGACACAGTTCGGGTTGAGGTGTGGGGGGACAAGGGTGAGGGTGAAGGTGTGGGGGGACAGGTGTAAGAGTTGAGGGGCGAGGGACGAGGGGCGAGGATGAGTGTCGAGGGGTGGGAGGGCTCAGAGGCAAAGACCGGGGAGTGGGGCGAACGGATTAGAAATCGGGGTGGGGCACAGAGGGGTGGGGGGGGGGGCGGCTACACTTAAAGCCAGGGTGTCAAGTAGACCAAGTGTTTTGCAGTCGACGAAAAAAGGGCCTGTCTGAATGGTTTACAAATCTGGGGCCAAAGTTTTGTCGAATCGAGCTCGCCAAAGAACCCACTTTTCGCCCAAGTGTTTGCAGGTGCACGGCCAGCTGGTACATGAGACCCTGGCTTTAACGGCAATACACTAACAAAGGCTCGAGTAGCTTGACCTCCTTCTCGCCTACTCTCTAAACTTCCACCTAACCAGAAGATGCTGCACTGGCATGGGCTGTATCTCTCACCTCCTCGATCTCCTTCCACTTCTCGTCCGGCAACACGAAAAGCGCCGCGATGCCGCCGCTGAACGCGGCGAGCACGCCGAACTGCGAGACGAAGAGCGGCAAGCCGGCGCGCTTGCTCTTCTTCGCCTCCTGCTGCTTCACATCCTTCACTGGGGGAGCCACTGTGCTCGACGGCTTCAGCTCCGGCTGCATGTGGGGAAGGAGACACAAAGTGGGGAGGGAGGGAATTAGAGAATGCTCAGACGGTTTTCTTCGCCTCCTGCTGCTGCTGCTTCACCTCCTTCACTGGGGGAGCCACTGTGCTCGACGGCTTCAGCACCTTCTGGACGGGGAAAGGGAGCACGCGGGGGAAGGAAGGATGCAGTGGGATGGGAGCAGTGGGATAGGCTTTAGAGGAGTTGTACATACGAATGACGAAACGTGTGTTCGTAATGGCCAATGAAACCGGTGCGATGCGCAAGAGAGAATTACCAGACTGCGCTCAGACACTGATTTCATTCGCCGAATGGGGAGAAATTCCATCCGTGGCAACATAAGAGGCAGTGTACTGGGAGTGTGTAAGCCCGCGGGGAAGAGCCTTTGACGCGTCACCCCCGACGACTTTAAACTCGCGAGAAAATGGCGTTTCAGCGGGATACATGCGAGATACTTTCGATATCACAGCGGCATCCGCGCGGGGCAGTAATCAGGGTCGTGATAGGAAGATCAGTTGTCAACCCAATGCCATGCTTCGAATTGCCCATAGAAGCGCGTCAACGTGGCACCTTCATTTCGCTTTCTACCAAACCCACAGTGCACGTTATGGACCAAAAGACCCCTTGTAGACGATCTCATTCAACCCCTTCACCTTCGCAATAGCTTCTGTACCACTCACTTTAACGAAGAGCCTCTGCGCCTGGATCTTCTCCTCCGCGAATCTCCGCGCGGCCTCCTCCTCCGCCGCCTTCTTCTCCGCCTCCGCGCGCGCCGCAGCTGCGATCGCCTCCTGTTCCTCGCGCTTCTTGCGCAGCAGCTCGCCCAGCCGCCGGGCTCGCTCCTCGGGCTGGCGAAAAAAAAAACCGGCGAAAAAAAAACCGGCGAAAGACGAAAAAACACAGCTTTTTAGGCGACATCGGAAGGTTCAATACACGCAAGCACGTTTCGTCAGAATGCATGATCTCCTACTTGCGCTGATTTTGTTACGACAACAAGGAGCCAGAGAATGATGGGCATGAGTAGAAACGACCGACATTGCGAATCAAAAGAAATTGACAGACAGAGGAAAAGGCGCGCCTTATGTCGAGTCGGGTTAGAATGAAATGGGGTTGATTGCCTACCGTGTTTAACGCGGCCTCATCCACTACCGCGACCTCCTGTACAAGCACAGGAATAGGGCAGCACGAACGAAAATCCGCGTGAGCTCACTGATTTCGAAAATGAAATTGGGCTTTGGTGATTGGAATGGGGACGTCGATAGGATGCGATGTCCACGCAATGTGGAAAAGGAACAGGGCTGGATCGCTGGACTGGCCTGGTTAGAGAAAGAAGGCGACCCATAGAACCTTGGAAAATCCCCCGAGGAATGAAGCAGCAGTATGGGAGAATGGAGGCGATGCGAGTCTCGTGGCTGACGTACCTCTGCTTGAGCGGCGGCGACGCCACCAGTGAGGAGATAGCTCTGCATTGCGTCGGCTGTCGGCGCGATACCCATCACGGTCGCGGCTGCCAGAAAGACGAGAGAGCGGAAACGGAACGATGTGAATATCGAGGAGATTTGTGCGTGTGTGACGCCGTTCCGGTCCCGACATTCTCAGTAGTGAGAAAGGGGGCTCGCGTAAGAATCATGTACAAGTCCGAAAAAAGTACGTTATTGATGGTAACTCACCGAAGATCGCGGATGACAGAGCGGGAACGACGGCTCTCGCGAGTTGAGCCGCGAAGGAGGGCGTCGCATTCTTATTGTCGCCATCGGCACGGCATGACACGCTCGTCGCGACGGCCTTTCTAGCGGGAGCGGCGATGGAGACGGTCACTGGTTGGCCCTTGAACACCGTCTGATCGGCGAGGGCGAGCCGGGAATCAACGGCTAGAGAAGCGGCGGTGTTGAGAGCCGACATGGTTGCGTGCGGTGCAATGCGATGGACGCAAGACAACCAGATGCAGCGATTGAAATCGCTACGATAATGGACTGGCGGCAATCAAGCGACTGCGGATGGTAAGGAAAGCTCTGAAGTAGCAGAGGATTGGATTCAGAGACCAGAGAAATAGGCACGGTAGTCTCTAGACTAGAGACAGCTGCTCGTCAGATCAGGTGCTCAAACCTACAGCAGCGCGGAGATTCGGGAAATTTTGCGTCACGACATTCCCAAGGCTGAACTGGTGGTGCTGGTGATGGGTTGAGCTCTCAGGGGCTCATCTACGGCAATGCTGCGTTGGCGGAACCAATCTTCAAAGTTCGACGGGCACGATTGCAGTAAAAAGCTGATAGCTGGTGCCACGCGGAGTGGAGATTGGGCGAGTGGTCCTTCAACCTTGGAAGCTCCCCAGAGAATCTCTCCAGGGTGACTTGGCAGCTTCTGGAATCACTGATGAATCCAGCGTGGCAGCAGCTTCTTGTCTGGCAACCGCGACTGGTGAATTGACGTCCGGTTCTCGACAATATTGTGGCCTCAACTACACGAGGCATAGCTACTAAAAAAACCTGCCACAATATCTTCCCGAATACTTTAGCCATAAATACATTATTGTTGTGTTTCACAGCATCACACTATTTTGTACTACCAACGTAGGAACTAGACTCAGCCAAAAAATTCGGACTCGTCCTTCCACATATTTTGGTGCATTGCCAATGGAGTAGCACCTTCGTCTTGATCATATGGAATCACCTGGTAGCCGGAAAAAAAAGCAGGAGCACACGGCAAGCATGTCGTCAGTTCATCAACACATGCAATGCACCAAAACAATATGCACATTCCAGCGAAAAGGATGGACAGCGCGCCAGCCAATCCTAGAAGGGCAACAAGTTACCTGCATCTTGTTCTCACCTCAACTCCTCCCCACCACATTCGCTTGCCGCTAGAGCTCCCGACTCCACCATCAAATGATTTTCTGCCTCCATGCCCATCATCGGCCAACCGCCTGATCCCATGCCCATCATCACCCAATCGCCTGCTCCCATGCCCATCATCAGCCAATCGCCTGCTCCTCGACCCAACCCCAGGTCCCGCTGCTGCAGCAGCATCACCAGCAGCAGGAGAGATCAAACTGCCAAACCCATCATCAACCAATCGCCTACTCCTAGACCCAGGCCCAACCAGGGAAGGTGCCGCTGCAGCAGCAGCATCACCAGCAGCAGGAGATATCAGACTGCCAAACCCTTCATCAACCAATCGCCTGCTTCTCGAGCCCAGCCCCGCAAGCGGGCTAACAGCCGTAGCACCACCAGCACCAGCAGGAGAAGCAGCAGCAGGAGAAGCAGCAGCAGCAGCAGGAGAAGTAGCAGCAACAGCGGCAGAGGGTGAGAACAAGCTACCAAACCCGTCATCAGCCAATCGTCTGCTTCTAGAGCCCATCCCGGCAAAAGAAGGGCTGGGAGCTGCACGGCGGTCAGCAGCATCAACGAAGGTAGGCGCAGAAACCACAGGGGCGGAAAGGGACATGCCAAATTCATCGTCCTGTAGCCGCCGCCCTCTCTGCCGCCCGTCCACCATGGGACCCCTAGGGGTAGGAATTGGTGCTCCGCTTGGGCCTATCACAGCACTCGGGCCTGCCACACCTGCAGCTGCAGAACCCGCAGCCGCCAAACCTGCAGCTGTCCCACCCGCGGCTGTCGCACCTACCACTGCCGCACCTGCGGCTGCCGAACCTAAAGCTGCCCCGGCTGCGGCTGCCGAACCTAAAGCTGCCCCACCTGCAACCGCCCCACCCTCGGGTGCGTTACCAGCATCAGCAGCAGCAGCAGCAGCAGCAGCAGCAGCAGCAGCAGCAGCAGCAGCAGCAGCAGCAGCAGCAGCAGCAGCAGCAGCAGCAGCAGCAGCAGCAGCAGCAGCAGCAGCAGCAGCAGCAGCAGCAGCAGCAGCAGCAGCAGCAGCAGCAGCAGCAGCAGCAGCAGGAACAGCAGGGTCAGGAGCAGCTGCACTTCTCTCACTCCCACCAGCACCAGGAGCAGCAGCAGACTCAGTAGCAGTGGGCGCCGCAGCAGGTGTTGCAACTTTAGCAGCAGGTGCAGCAACAAGAGAAGCAGCAGCTGTAGCAGCAGGTGTAGCAGCAGGCGTCGCAGCAGGTGTTGCAACAAGAGTAGCAGCAGGTGTAGCAGCAACTGTAGCGGCAACTGAAGCAGGAGAGGCAGCCGATTGGGTCTCTAGACCGAAGGGAGGGGTGGAGATGGCATCACTGTCATCCCACAGCCGCCTGCCACTAGCCCTGCCCTTGCCATGCAAGGTCCGCCCTTGGTCTTGCCCTGTGTCCCTCTCCCTGATGCCTGCTGCCTGTGCTGCAGCGGAAACAGTGGTAATGAGAGCAGCAGCAGCAGCAGCAGCGGCAGCAGTGGGTGCAGTGGGTGCTGCAGTGGGTGCTGCAGTGGGTGCTGCAGTGTGTGCTGCAGTGTGTGCTGCAGTGTGTGCTGCAGTGTGTGCTGCAGTGGGTGCTGCAGTGTGTGCTGCAGTGTGTGCTGCAGTGGGTGCTGCAGTGTGTGCTGCAGTGTGTGCTGCAGTGTGTGCAGTGGGGCCAGAGGGTGTTGCAGTGGGTGCGGTGGGAGCAGCGCTGGGAGGAGGGAGCGCAAAGTCAGCAGGCTCGTCAGCAGGAGAGCACGAGGCAGATGGAGCAGGAACAGGGACAGAAGCAAGGGTAGCCGCGCCAGAGGCTAGGCTTCGAGTCAACTCATAACCAGCCCAAGGCGCAGCAGCAGAGGCAGGATTAGGGACAGAAGCAGGGGCAGGATTAGGGACAGAAGCAGGGGCAGCAGCAGGGGCAGAAGAAGCACCAGCAGCAGCAGGGGCAGAAGCAAGTTCGACAGCAGGGGCAGCAGCAGGGGCAGAAGCAAGTTCGACAGCAGGGGCAGCAGCAGGGGCAGATGCGGGGGAAACAGCAGGGGCAGCAGCAAGGGTGACAGCAGCAGCTGCTGCATCGGATTTCTGAGGCGCCTCAGGAGTGGGAGGTGCAGGGCCAGCAGCAGGAGTGCTAGCATCAGCACCAAAAGCACCAGTAACAGGGCGACCAGAGGTGGCGGTGCTTCCCACAGGGGTTGTGGGGGGACGCAGGGCCTGCGATCGGCGCTGCTGCTGCTGCTGCTGCAGCTGCCTGTGCTGTGGGGCATGCACACCAATGGGTGGTGTGCGCGGCCTGAGGGACTGCTGAGACGTCTCAGAAGCAGCGACGGGTGGGGTGCGCGGCCTCAGCTGAGACGTGTCAGCATGAGCTACAGGTGGGGTGCGGGGCCGGAGGGAGTCTGGAAGGCCAGCGGCGGCCATCACAAAAGCACGAGGAGTCATGGGTAGCCATGACAGCATGCCCCCTGCTGCTCCTCCTGCTCCTGCTCCTACTCCTGCTGCTGCTGACAAATCTGGCTCATGTGCCGGCCAAATACTCAGCCCAGTAACATGCGGTTTGGCAGTAGCAGCAGCAGCAGCAACAGCAACAGAAGGAGCAGCACCAGTGTCATCTGTACTATCAGCGGCAGCAACGGCAGCAGCAGCAGGGCCGCCAGAGGGACCCATCCCCCACCATCCACTGCCACTCCCACTGCTGCTCCTAGCAGCCGCCACTCTCACTGCCCTATCCTTCCCCTCCCCCCCCTCCTTTGTACCCGCCACTGCACTCGGCTCGGCAGCAGCCTGGCCAGCAGCTTCAGCAGCAGCCTCGGCAGTAGCTGCGGCGGAAGCTTCGGCGGCAGAGCGGGCGACTGCCAGCTGGCGACGGTTGACTCGCAGGCGCTGCTGCAGGCGGTGGTGCTGCCGCTCCCTCTCCTGCAGCCGCTGCCTGTAGGTGCTGAGAACCTGGGAGGGTGAGGAGAGGTTGAGAGGCAGCAGAAAGGATAAGTGGGGAACAGGAGGAGTGGGACGGGTGAGAGAACAATTGATGCTGCCCCCCCCTCTCCTGCAAGTGTTGCCTGCATGAGCTGAGAACCTGCGTGGGGGGTAAGAGGTAGCAGGAGAGAGAGGCAACAGGGGGAATAAGTGGGGGAAAGGAGGAGTGGAACGGGTGGGAGAACGAGTGAACGCTGGTGCAGGCAGGCAGTGATGCTGCCGCTCCCTCTCCTGCAGCCGCTGCCTGCATGCACTGAGAACCTGCGTGTGGGGGAAAGGCAGCAAGTGGTGGTAGGCAGTGCTGTTAGCACTTAACAACATCCTACCTGCTGTGCCTCCACCAATCGCTTTTTTGAGTGCCTAGAAAATAGCCTTACCTGCTGTGCCTCCATCAGTCGCTGCTCCCCATCTTCCACAGCCTGCTACAACAACCCCGCCTCTCCACCCTCCCCTTCTCCCCCGTCGCCGCGCACCTGCAAGCCGCTAATGAGAAACGCCATGGTGTCTCCGATAGCCGACACCTGCCCTTCCACGTCCAGCACCACTTGCTGCTGCACACCCACGCGCCTTGCCTCCTGCTTACCTGCAGCAGGCGAGACTTACCACTTCGACATCAGAAATAGTCTTACCTGCTGTGCGTCCATCAATCGCTGCTCCCCATCTTCCACAGCCTGCTGCAACAACCCCGCCTCTCCTCCCTCCCCTTCTCCGCTCCCGTCGCTGCGTCCCTGCAATGCACTCATAAGAAACGACATGGTGTCTCGGATGGCAGACACCTGCCCTTCCACATCTAAGACCACCTGCTGCTGCACGCCCACGCGCCTCGCCTCCTGTGCCGCCTCCTCTGCGACCTCCTCTGCTTGCTGCAGCAGTGCCTGCTCCTGCCGCTGCAGCAGCACCACCTGGTGCTCTAAGGCGGCCTGCTGCTGCTGCAGCTGCTGCAGCTGTTTACGCCGCTCCTGCCGCTCCCACTGCTCCTGCTCCTGCTGTTGCCGTTGTTGCTGCTGCTCGCTAGCAGAGAGCGATTTGGGAAAGGAGTTCTGACCAGCAGCTGCAGCTGGTAGCATGGCTTGAGCCTCACCCGGCGGTGGGCCGTGAGCAATGGGGCTTTTAGGCGGCAGCACTGCCACACTGGATGCTGCACTGGCAGACGTTTCACTGACTGATAAGGCCACGCTTGATGGACCAAGCTGTGCTGCTGAAGCGTTTGACTCTACGCCACTCTCTGCCTCCACCTCCTTGCTCCCCTCCGCACCCACCCCACTCACTGCCCCTCCTGCTGAATTTTCTTCCTCCGATGCTGCCTCTCCTGTTACTTCCCCTTCCGATTCTCCTGCTGCATCTCCTACTGCATCTCCTGCTGCCTCTCCCGCTGCCTCTCCTGCTGCATCTCCTGCTACATCTCCTGCTGCCTCTGTTGTTGATCCATCCTTTCGCCCCGCCCTAAGCTTGCCATCTCCCATCCCCCCCTCCTCTCCCTCTCGCTCTCCCTCTTCCTTTCCCACTCCCTCCACCGCACCTGCTCCCTCTCCCTCTTCCACCATCACCAGCTCAGGCAGGTCAAACGGAGCAGCCACTACTGTCACCCCATCCGCCTCCTTCCCCTCCTCCCTCTCCCCCTCCCTCTCTGCAGCAGCACCAGTTGCCGCGGCACCGGCTTTGTGAGGGGCAAGAGCAGCAGGGGAGAGGCTGGGGGCGGGGGAGGCGAGGGAGGAGGAGTGTGAGAACGCAGGCTTGTGGGAGGGAGCCGCGGTGGAGGAGGAACGGGCAAACGGAGGCAGGTTGGAGGTAAAAAGGGAAGATTGGGTGAGAGATGAGTAGGGGGAGGAGTTGGAGAGGGAGGAGTAGGGAGAGGGGTGGGAGGCGGAGGAGAAGGGGGAGGGGGAGAGGAGGGAGGAGCTGCGGGTTACCCGGATGATGGGCGAGCGCATGGGAGTAAGTGGCACTGTGAGGAAGGTGGATGGGTCTTCGTCCTCTGGAGCTTCACCCTCTCGAATCCCACAGCTTGACTTGCTCCCGGGGAATGCCGCACATAGCTCCGATTCCTGAGGTGCCTCAGAGGTGGAGCCAAAGACTGGTGCGCGTGCTTCTGTGGGGATCGACGGGTCTGGGAGCTTTGCTGCTGCTGCGGCTGCTGCTTCAGGTGCAGCTGGTACATCGGAGTGCGTCGTCTTAGCCTCAGCAACCAGCTCGTGAACTGGTTCCTTTTCACCGTCATCACCGCCGCCAGCAGCACAGGCAGCAGCAGAGGCAGCAGCAGAGTCGGAGGCAGTGCTATCACCAGCAGCACCCACGACCAGGCTCGGCCGTTCCTTCACACCTCCCACCCCTATCTCTTTCACCGCAGCTGCGCGTGCCCGAGCCTCCACCGCCCCAACCAAAACCTTCAGATCGTCCCGAACCTGCGCCAGGTCCCTAGGCGTGTGCCCTGTGGTGGTAGACATACCACCTCCCCCAGTCCCACCTCCCTCACCCCCCGCGCCCTTCCCTCCCCCGCCCGCCCCCTGACGCCTCACCGGCTCTACCCCCTGCTGCCGCATAAACAGCCGAATCTCGCCGAACACAGACGAGAGATGCCGCTCCACCTCCCACTCGCGCATCTCGGCCTCGGCTCGCGCCGTGGCGGAGAGAACAGCCTCGGCGGCGGCAGCAGCATCTTCACTGCGCTCCACAGCCCGCTGGGCCAGCTGTAGCAACACGTGGATGAATGCTGCCTGGTGCCGCCACACCTCCTGCTGCTCCTGCTGCTGCTGCCCCTGCTGCTGCCCCTGCTGCGTCTGCTGCCTGTGTTTTTGTCCCTGCGGCTGTGCCTTACCCTGCCTGTCTTGCGGTGAGTCCCTGCCCGGCCGAGGACTCAAAGGGCTCTGACCCGCCCCTGTCTTGCCGCTGCTTCTCGGGCTGCTGAATCCGCTGCCCCCGGCTCGACCCCCCCTGGGGCTGCTGAAACTGCCGTTGGGACTCGCCCGTTCACCGCCCTCTGCTGCCCTTTCCTCGCCCGTCAGAACTATGCCAAACGGCCTCCGAACCACAACACCTAGCTGCCTCGGTACCTCCTTCACCTCTGAACCAGAACCAGCAGCAGCTGCAGCAGTGGCAGATGCCGAAGCAGCAGCAGCAGCAGCAGGAGCAGCCTGACCGGCCAGCCCACCAGTAAGCCAGCTCAGCATGCCACTCATCCCCCCACTCCCCCCACGCCCTCCTCCTCCTGGACTGCCAGAGCCAGCCAAGGCTGCCCGGGCGGCTTGCGCAGTGGCGGCAGCAGCCGCCGCCCGGGCGGCAGCCAGCTCGTCGGCCAGCTCGCTCGCCCCCATCTGCTCGAGCAGGGCGGAGCGCATTGACTTGCCGCCCAAGGGCTTGCCATGCTGGTTACCACTAGCAGTGCCACCAGCAGCAGCAGCGGCGGTAGTGGCATTGCTGGCAGTGCTAACACCAGTGGTAGTGGTGCTGCCTGTGCTGCTACCCGTGGTGACTGCTGTAGCATCACCCGTGGTGGCAGCTTGTGTGTCAGGGGAATGTGCAGCGGTGGTTGATGGGAGAGAGGGAGAGGAGGGGTCGGCGAACCCAACAAGGCGCGGGCCGGAGGGGCGGGCGGGGCGAGAGAGGGAGGCATGAGAGGTGGCGGGGAGAGAGGATTCGATGGAGGGAATAGAAGAGGAGATGGGACCAGAAGCATCAGGAGAACATGAGGTGGTTGTCTCAGATGGAGCGGCACCTGCAGAAGGAGAGAGGGCAACTGCAGCTGGAGCAGAAGCCACAGTAGTAACAGCAGAAACTGCCGCCAACGCAGCAGCAGAAACGGCAGAAGAAGCAGCTGCAGAAGCAGAAGCGGGAGGGGGAGGAGGAAGGGCTGGGGTAGGAGGGAGCACGCCAGGGCTGGCAGCAGGAGAGGCCCCCACCGCCCTGGCTCTAGCAGCAGCCAGCGACCCTGTTCCTGCAAACGCAGCTGCCACCGCAGCAGCCGCCGTAGCACTGAACGATCCTGACCGAGACATGCGGTGCCCAGGCTTCCCAACCTGCCCAACCTGCCCAGGCTGCCCGGGAGCGCGGGAGGGGCAGGAGGAGGGCGTGGGGGCGGGCGAGATGGCTGCTGCTTCCAGGCGGCGCTTAATCTCGGGCAGCTTCGTGCCCAGGAAGTCTGATTCCTCAGGGTTGTCGGAGAGCAGGGTGGGATCCAGCACCCCTTGCTGCTGCTGCTGCTGCTGCTGCTGCTGCTGCTGCTGCTGCTGGGACTTGAAGGAGGAGCCGCTGGGAATCCGCCTGTGAAAAGCTGACACGTCGGATTGGCCCCTCCTGAGGTATGGCCCTGTTGCTGCTGCCGCCGCCGCTACCGTTGCTGCTCTTGGATCCAGAACTCCAGGGGGAGACACAACTGCATGCCCCAAGTCATTGGTAACCTGGTAACCAGCATCCATTAGGGCGTTCTCCCCAGCAGCGCCAGCAACACCAGTGCCGGCACTGTTGAGCTGTCTCTCCATCTGCACGAGCGCTCTGACAGCCTCCTGGCGGCGCTGCCACTCCTGCTCCGCCACCATGCCCGCCTCCGCTGCTATCTCCTGCTCCCTCAGCAACTCGCTTACCAACTCATCCAGTTCCATCTCCAGCCCTTGCTTCTCCCCCTCCAACTCCACCACTCGCCTGCACGTGCGGGGGCAATGGGAGGAACGAAGGGGGATGGAGCATGGGAATGAGGGATGGGACATGCCCGCCTCTGCTGCTATCTCCTGCTTTCTCAGCAGCTCCCCCACCAGCTCCTCTAATTCCATCTCCAACCCTTGCTTCCCGCCTTGTAGGCTTCTAGCTCCACCACTCGCCTGCTGTTTTACCTGATAGCGATAGTCATTCTAATGATCGCATGCCATTTCACTCACCTGATGGTGTTCTCTCGAGTCTGCCTCAGGTCGCTGATCTCAGCATCTGCCGCCCGCTTTGCCGCCCGCAGACTCTTCAGTTCGCCCACTGCCACCTCCAGCTTGTGCTGCAGCAGTGCCACGTCAGCAGAGCCCACGCCAGCAAGGAAAACGCCAACCGTCTCCCCCTCACCATCTCCTCTCTCTGAAACACCAGCCGTTGCTTCTTCCTGTGCTGCTGTTGCCCCGCCCTTGCCTTTGCCATTGCCCTTGCCCTCCCCATCCTCCTCCCGCTCCTCTTCCCCCTCCTGCTCTGCCATGCATGCATCTCCCTCGGGCTCTGCCATCAAAGCTTTCAGCTTTTCTTCTAGCTTTCTGATCCTCCCCTCTCTCCTCCCCACCTCCTCCTGCATCACCTCCTCCCACTTCCTCTCCATCTCCCTCCTCTCCTCCTCCCACTCGCCCCTCTCCCCCTCCCTCCTTGCCTTCTCCCTCTCCTCTCGGCTCTTCTCCTCCTGCACCACCTGCTCCAGCCTCCCCTCCATCTCTCTCGCTTGCGATTCCGCCGCGGCTGCTCTCCCTTCTGCGTCCCCCACTCTCTGCTCCAACTCAGCCCTCCTCCTGCCTTCCTCACCCACCGTCCCCTCTGCTTCACGCACCTTCTCTTCCAACTCAACTGCCTTTTGTTCCATCTCACCCACCCTCGTTTCCAACTCAACCACCCTCTGTTCAGCTGCAACCGCCCGCGCCTCTGCCTCTGCAGCTCTCTCATCCGCCTCTCGCCTCGCCCTCTCAGCCTCCCCCCTCTCCTGCTCCACCTGAAGCGCCCTCTTCTCCTCCTCCTCTCTCTCCCGCACAGCCCTCTCTGCCCGTTCACTCGCTTCCGCCAGTGCTGCTTCTGACACACGTACCTGCTCCTCAAGCTCCTTCACTCGCGCCTCTAGACTCGCCTCTCTCTCCCTCTCATCCCTCCTCTCGCTCCTCTCCTCTTTCCCCGCGACTCCCACACCCCCTTCCGCCTCCAATGCTGCAGCAGCGCCAGACCGAGAGGCCTCAAGGCTCGCCTCAGCGGATTCCCTGCGCCTCTTCTCCTCGCCTCGCTGCCTCTCCCCCTCCTCGCACCTCCCCTGCCACTCCGCCACTTCGGCCCGTAGTGCCTTTTGGGTTGAATCAGAAGTCCTCTCGCCCTCCTCGCACCGGCCCTGCCACCGGGTCAGCTCGGCTCGGAGTGATTCCACCTCCACCCGCATCTCCTCCAATGCCTCCTTCTGCACGCACATGCACACACACACGCACAGATGAACGCACACACACACACACACACACACACACACACACACACACACACACACACACACGAGCGCGCGCGCACACACACACACACACACACGCGCACGCTTACACGCACACACAAACGCCGTGGAGAAGTAGTTAAAGACATGGAGAAGAAGAGGGAAAGGAAGACACATGCAGAGCACAGGGTAACAGAGAAACGGGAAACGGAGAAGAGTGAGACAGAGAGGGGCCAAACGGGACATACTCTTGAGGACTTCTTTCCCTCTTTTCCCTCCTTGTGCTCTTTGTGCTCCTTTCCTTCCTTATGCTCTTTCCCCTCCTTATGCTCTTTCCCCTCCTTATGCTCCTTCCCCTCCTTATGCTCTTTGGATCTCTTCCCACTTGACTTGTGTGCGCGCTCCTCCTTCCCCGTGCTCTGCCATGACAGCACACCGACACACAACAGGCAATGCGCACTTAAATTTCGCAATCACAGCACGTCTCAAAGAATTTTCTTCCGACTTGACTTGTGAACGCACTCCTCCTTCCCCGTGCTCTGCCATCACCGCACGTAGTTGTATTGAATTGTACACCAAATAATGTTCGTATCACGTTTGAGAATTCTCAACAGTGATTCAAGGATGTGGCTGTACAACAGGAATGGGCACAGCACAACAGGCAATGGGCTGGGCACCACAGCAGAAGCGCATGCAGCAGCAGCACACCTGAGGAGCGGATGGGGATGGCAGCTGCAGTTGTTCCGCCCCTGCCTCCCCAACCCCAGCAGCACCAGCACCGCCACCAGCAGCAGCCGCTGCAGCTCTGGAGCGCCTCTTAGGAGTGGAGGAGGCGGAAGAGGCGGAGGAGGAGGGGGACGAGGGGAGCGCGGACGCGCTGGCGGCCCCCCCAGTGGCGGAGGAGGGGAGGGCGCAGCTGGAGGAGCGGTTTAGGGGGAGCGCGGAGGGGCTGGAGGGGGAGGCGCGGAGGGTGGCGAGGGGGGAGGACGGCCCTGAGGGGTCCTTGGTGGCCTGGGGGGGCGGGGGATGGGGGGATGGGGGAGTGAAGATGGGTGGAGATGGGTGGTGATGAGGGGAGGCGTGGTGGGTGGCGAGGGGGGAGGACGGCCCTGGGGGGTCCTTGGTGCTCTGGAGGGGGGAGACATGGGGGGATGAGGGGGTGAGACGGGTGGAGATGGGTGAAGATGGGTGCAAATGGAGAAGGCTTTTTGACGGTGCGTCTTTGTCAGGCCACCACGCATGGGACTTCATAGCACCACCCACCCTCCAACCCTCAAAACCCTCCACCACGTCTCCCCATTATTCTTCCCCTTCGTCATCCTCCTCCCTCCTCCCCCTCTCTTTCCCATCCCCACCCGCTCTCCCCCCGAGTAGTACCGTACCATTTCCTTCCCCCACCCCCCGGCCCCCCTACCAGCACACCTGCTTGTGCGTCTGGAAGCGCGCCATCAGCTCCGACACCTCCCCGCCCCATTCTTCCCCCCTCTACCCCCCTTTCCGCGATTATTCCCCCATCCCCCCATCCGCGCTACCAGCGCACCTGCTTGTGCCGCTGGAAGCGCGCCATCAGCTCCGACACTTCCCCGCCCCCTTCCGCGGGGGGTTTCCGCCGCCCGCCCGCCGACATGGGCCGACTCACGCCCTGGTCGCCGTGCGACACGGGGCGACTCTCGCCCTGGTCGCCCTGCGACATGTGAGGGGTATGCGGGAAGTGAGGGGTGGGTGAAGCGAGAATGAAACTTGGAATGACGGTAACGAGTGGGTGTGAGGTGTGGGGTAACCAAGTTGACCGCGGAACTGACGGTAAAGAGTGCGCATGCGATGCAAATACATCATGCAGCGGTTCGCTGACCAACGGACAATTAAGAGCAGACGGGAATTTACGGCTGGGAGGGCGCGCGATGGGCACGGAGAGTCAAAGACTGGAACGAACGTGGCTTCAGAAACTAGTTGTTAATCTCCAAAAAGGTAATTCGAAGGTCGCGGAAGGATAATCCCCATTGTGGAACTAAGTTGAAGAAGTCCACCAAGATACACTTGCGAGTGGGTACTGGCTTCTGTGAGCCATTGTCGCGTCGGCGCAAGATACACCTGAAATTTACGCAGGAAATTACTTACCATTAGAATTGGCTTCGTCGACAGCAATAATTGCTCTCAAAATGTCGCCATGCCGAAAGTTTAAAGCTTAATACGAGCTAGTACACTAGGGATAATTTGAAGCATCCTATGCTCATCTTAATGTCCTCTCATTATAACGTCTTAGCCACGATAACAGCGTGTGTCGCGGGAAAGCAGACTGAAACTCTCAAGCTCGCTAAGAATGCGCCATTAGAAAATTGAAGCCTGTCCGCAAATACGATACTTCGCTCGTTCGCAACTTTCGCTAAACCATTGTATCACTTATACGACGCGCGTGGCTCTAAGCCAACGAACGGAGCGCCAAACGGCGAAATAAGTAGCGGCGCATTTTCTATGGTCACAGACACACAGGTACACAGCACTAATTGCCTGACAGATGATGCCCGCGGAATAATTCACCTGGTTATTGAAAGAGCCATTTTGCTGTGCTCTGAAGAGGCTGATGATATGTCTCAACCCCTTACCAGTGCGGTTCAGTAGGCTTCCACACGGTAAGCAGGCTTTCTTTCTTCTCGCCGCTTTGAACCGATATGCACCATACAAATCAGGACCAAGTTGTGGGAGCAAGTGGGCTGGTGGGTGGGCGGTTGGGCTGTAGAGATTCTCCACATAAGTCCTGGAATTTTGTCGACAAATACTGTCTAAAGTGTAGCATTCCGATCTGAGTAGTGATACTGAAAATCAAAATTGACAACATAGATAATGAAATGCTTCAGCTTCACATATATCGGTTTAAATTTTCATTATATTAAAAATTAAATCTATGATTCTTATAACAGATACTGTATGATATGATGCCTCTATAATTTCCCCCTTTACATATCTATTTTTCTTTTACATCCAACCACAGATGTAATGCAATTGGTTTGAACCGTTAACGGTTCTACTCAGGACGAGTAAGGCACTCACTTTTGTGAGGTATGGAGGTTATCGCGACTCGACCCTTGAGTTTTCACCAGCCTCGGGCTCGGTGTCAGCGTAATCGGACGGCCATGCGAACATTCTATCAAAATGCTTTCTATCCAGGATCCTCTAATTATCGCGCTTCGTTGGTCCATGCAGGCACAAACGTTTTTCCCGCCACTGCTTCCATCACCCTCTCCCTGCCTGACACTCATCAGGATCATCTTCCTGTGCACCAAACAGTCCACAAGGAATGCCATTGGCAAGGTCCCTTCTTCTGTTCGGATTTCCATCATGTCACACACCCAAGGCTTTTCCGTCTCACATCTCGGTTTCATACTTTATTGAACGGTTAATCATGGTCCACCTCGGTCGATCCTTCCCAACCAACCATGGACCAATTTTCAACCATGATTCCTGATTACTTCAAGCCTTGTTTCATCCAAGCCATGTGTGCTGTCCCGTCCTGTCATTTCCCGATCTTCGAAGCACGCCTAGTGACTCTGAGCTTGACGGCTTTCCTGTCTTCGAGAAATTCGGCTCTCGAATCCAACGGCGTCGAAACTGTCCTGTCTCATCGTGCAGGTTAACCGAATTCGCCGGCTTTCGCAACTGCTTGTCTGCTTACTAGTCTGAAATTGGGTCGGACTTCCAGAGACGTTTTAGCTTGTCAGCGAGAGTTTGCGATTTTCCCCTACAGTCAGCCATGGCGTTCGCTAAGGTCGAGTACGCAATAAGATTTTTACATCGTAGGGATTATTCTTAATGGGGACCTTCATTTTACAAGTTCCTTCGTACTAAAGATTCACGAGCATAATGACCACGTTCGACTAGAAACAACGCTGAAGAAGGCGGAACGAGGGGTGCTACCTTACTTAGGATTATCGCTGTAACATTTTCGGGTTCTTGTCTTAGGAAGCGACTGCTTTTTAGTTCTATCTTTAGCTCCTCTCCCGTTGATGTTTCGTGAAGAAGCCGATTAGAAAGCGTTTCACTGTCGTTCTTCTGTCAGGGAAAAATCTAGCTACGTTTGTTGATTCAAGCGTACAGCGACAAGAACGTTCGAGTTGCTCTGGTCGCAGCGTTTCCAGGATGGTCGGATCGACCTATTCCTCGGAGTCAGGGACCAGGCCCGTGACTCCCCTCAACCTGCGGTCTCAGATGGATGCGGGGTACCATAGCGGGGGAATGACCATCGTAGAGAAGTAAGTAGAGGAGCAACTAGAATATTAGTAGAGTAATGATGTCATGTCTATTTCCCGCCTCCCAACGCTCCCGTTTGTTTATTATCTTCTGGAGTTCTAAGCTTGCAATTCTGAATGTTACCCGGAATCTTGTCCCTGACATGAGTGATTGACCTTTCCAACGGCAGGCATGTCATGAGGGAGCTACCGAATGCACAGAACAGTCAGCTGGAGGCTGCTGCGAGCCAGCTCGAGTCGCCTGAATGCTCTTCTGTCTCAGCTCAAGTGCTCTCAAGGTACGAAATGCATCTTTCTGTCAGATTTAACGTAGATTCGTGCGGTTTAGCTCAGTTACTCGTCCTGCAGCCTTTCCACAGCATCCTATCTGCCTTTAATGCCGGCCGTACACTTCCTTCCCTAGCGTGAGAAATAATTGCTTATTCCCTTGTCGCTGTTGGCTCTAGGCGGCAACCTCGCAACCGTTCCCATGAGCGAGCTGTACCACGACGGAGCTCTTTCTTCTGGTCGCTTCACCCCCCGCTGGGTCTTCTCATCAATTCATTCTTCCCCGTCTGTTCGTCTGTCCGCTTTGCCCACCTGTTGCTCTCTCGCGCAGGCCGGCCGCCGGCAGCAGCCTCACGAGCTTTCCGATCAGCGAGCTGTACCAAGTGGAGCACTACCTCAAGGCGGTGCAGCGACAGTCCGTCGCAGCCCGTCGCAGCCTGCTGGGCCGGCGACAACATGCGACTCCTGGCGCGCACGACGGCTCCGACCGAGCGATTTTCGAAGACATGCTGAGCTTTCAAAGGGTAGGATGAAGGGGTTCGTGGGCGATAACATAGGAATCGTACCGACAAAGATGCTTCACGAAAGCTGCTTCGCGCAAAGACTCGTTCCGCGTATGAGTAATGATCTAGTCCCGTGCGCTTTCAACGAAATTCTCTGTGTACCCTTCTGTGCCTCCCGCTGGTGCCGTTCCTGCAGGATCCCATCCCGACCTCGCTCACGCGGCTCCCCACGGACCTGCAGACAAAAGCCGTGCGAATGTTCCAAGATATTCTGCACTACATGGGTCTCAACGGCGCGCCGATCACAGACGAACGCGAGCTGGCGCAGACGCTGGTGCGAATCCTCAAAATGGTTCTTCGAAAGCCGGAGATGCGGGAGGAGTTATACGCGCAGCTTCACAAGCAGACGCGGAATAATCACGACAGGGAGGCGTGTTTGCGGGCGTGGGAGGTGATGCATTTGTGCGCGTCGGTGGCGCCGCCTGGGGCGTATCTCGGGACGCCTATTACCGAGTATGTGCATGAGATCGCGAACGATGCGGGCGTGGACGAGGAGGTGAAGTCGCAGGCGCTTGCCACGTGGCACGCGCTGAAGAAGGCGATGAAGATTGGGGCGAGGAAGACGGTTCCGACCGTTGATGAGCTGCTGGCGCTGATGACGGGGCGAGCACTCAAGACGATGGTGTTCTTTCTGGATGATACGTTCGAGGAGGTCGGGTACGACGCGTCCACGACGGCTGCTGAAATCCTGGAGGTGCGCATGGGACAGTAGCACACAAATCGTCTCTCTGATTTTGAGACGCATCTGCTTGTGAGATGCGTTTATCTCTGTGGCGCATTGAAGGAACGCTGAGCACCAGGTTTCTGTATGCCTCTCTCTGCCTTTTACGAGATCAGCAGACTGTATATCCAATCCGTCCATGCCACTATCGTGTCCTGTGCGACCATGTGACTGTCATGTCTTGATGCGACTGTCCTGTCCTGTGCGACCACGCAACTGTCATATCATGATGCAACTGTCCTATCCTGTGCAACCATCATTAATGTCGCTGTACTTGATGCAGAGCGTGGCGAGCAGCATTCGCCTCGAGGAGTTTCAGACGTTTGGGTTGTACGAGCACAGGAAGTACATCACGCTCGCCAACAACAACTCGGAGAACGTATCCAGTGAGTCACATGCATGCATGCAGTCGTGACAGTGAGTCACATGAATGCATGCAGTCGTGACAGTGAGTCCTAGCCTCCTAGAGTCCTAGCCATACAGTCGGTACGGGACATGGGCAGAGTTGATTCAGACTTGGTTCAATCTTGATTCAGACTCGGTTCAGAGAAGTAAGTTGGTTTGTCTGTCCCGTGCGTACTGGGTGGATGGGAGTTGGTCCAGAGCAGTAAGTTGGTTTGTCTGTCCCGTGCGTTTACTGTGGGTCGATCCAGAGCAGTACGTTCGATTGTCTGTCCCGTGCGTATTGTGGGTCAGTCCAGAGCAGTAAGTTCGTTTGTCTGTCCCGCGCGTGCTGTGAGTCTGTAATGCTGGCAGGTCTTCAGGTGTGACTTTGTCACTTGCGTGATAGACTTACTGTGTGTGTGTTACTCGCTGCATGTGTGTTCGCGTTTTTGCATGGTTTGACAGTTGCTGCCCAGATCCGACCTCATCCCACACCCACAAATGATTGCAATGG